GTGATCCTCTCAACACAGGGGGAAGCTAGAACTGCAAATGTGGAAGAGCATTGCAGCTGGATTAGTGAAGTTTGGCAACACTTGTATTTCTCATTAACTTAATCATATTAATTCATTAGCCATATATATCAGAGTAATTCACTCAAGAATTGTCACAAGGATTAATTTATAATTGCTGTCTTTCTCAACATGTGAAATAGGTTGCAGTTATTCTCGAGATTGTTTCTCTACTTCTTGGAAGGAAAAATTATAGGTACAAATAATTATCTCAAAAATTATAAACTCTTTTTATGTCATACTTCTCCACTCTCCAAACTACTGCACGAATCATCAATAAAGGTAAAATTTTATTTCACTGAAGTTAAGAAAGTTTCAGCAGCAAATTGTGTGTATTTTTCCAAAGGTTTTTTGCTCTCTGAAATGTCAAATAAAATCATCTCTTATATTAAACTTAAGCAGTTCAAATATGATCCCAAAGATATATAGCCTGAACTTACTATAGCCAGTTTTTGTAAATTCAGTCTATCCGTAAAAATATGGAATTTATAATAAAAAGGAGCTGCAGTTTAACACTTTGGTTCCATCCTTACTGTCTGTTAATTTACATTGACCTCCTTGAAAACCCATTTTTTATCACTTCTTAATGAGGAATATTAATCATGGCATCCTAACATGATTAATAAGAGAATCAAATGTGAATACAATTACTGAGAAGAGTTATTTTTTAAATTTTAAGTTTACCTATTTCTGTGCATGTGTCCACACACACACACACACACACACACACACACATTAAACATGTGGGAGAGTGGGGAAGGTATTGTGGTTCAGTGGGTAAAGCCACGCTTCAGTTATCTGCATTCCCTACCAAAGTTCAGGTTTGAGTGGTTTCAGTCATGGTTTCTTGATTTTCAATCCACCCATGCTAATGCACCCTGGGAGTAAAGAGATGATATTACATGTTCTTGCACTCTTGTTACCTGTGAGGAAGACCTAGATGAAGTTCTGGGTTTTTGGCTTTGGCCTGGTCTAACTCTGGTATTCTCTCTCTCCTCTGATTTTTATATATAAAGAAAAAAATGCACATTTTAAAAACATGTAGGAGTTCTTTGTAGGCTACTATATATACTATTACCCTTATGTCATTGTCAATATCACCATGCTCCAGTACAGATTTCGAAAGTGCTAAATTTCTCCTCTAAACTTACATTGTACACAAGCAATGACTTCTGTTCCATGAGTCACCCAGACATAACCTAGTCTATTAGTATGAGGTTAAAATTTTGCATGAAGATATTTTTGGGTTAAAATAATTACATTGCATATAGCAAAAAAAAAAAAAAAAGACAGGCAGACATTAACATGGAAATTGGGATTGGGAAAGTTGAATTCAGCTAATATAAAATTATTATAGTTGTGTTTGTTAAACTGATACAGTAAGCCTTTGAAGGATTTACTTATCATTTATCTGAAAAGTGTAGTTATAGAGAAGATGGCATTATATATATAGTTGTAGACAAGAAAGAGAAAGAGAGACAGAGAGACGGAGAGACAGAGAGAGAGAGATTGTTCATCTAATGGTTCACTCCGCAAATATCCAAAACATCCAATTCTGAGCCAGGTTGAAGCCAAGGGACAGTTTCTTCATCTGTGCCTCTCTCATGAGTACAGGGACCCAAGTGCTTAGACCCACTTTCTGCTGCCTTCCCAGAAACTCTACCGGGGAGCTGGATCTAATGCAGGACAGCAGACTTGAATCATTGCTCACAAGGAATACCAGCATCAGAGACAAAGGCTTAACTCATTGTGTCATAACATCAGCCACCTAGCATTTTATTTAATAGAGAAACAACAAATGCATGTTAATCTAAACCATAACGGGTGCTATAAATAATAATGATAATTTAACTTTTGTGCTCCTTTTCTGTTCACATTTCTTTCTGAGCACACAATACATAACCTACTTAAAGAAAACGAAATGACATAAAATACAACGATTATTATTTATGTGACATGAAGTACATTTCCATAGCATTGCCAATTCAAAGACTCAAAAGAGTCATAACAACAGACATTTTTAATCAACTACCACCCATGTTGATTTGGTTTTCCTTTGACTCTCCTTTTAAAAATAAGAGCATCAGGGAGCCGATGCTGCAGAGAATAGGATTAAGATGACCCTTGGAACACTGCTATCCCATACCAGAAAATTGATTCTACCCTTGGTTACTCCACTTCTGATGCAGCTCCTTTCCAGTGAACTTAGAAAGGCAGCAGAATGTTCTTTAAATGCTTGGATCCCTGTAACCCACAACAAGATCAGAACTTAGTTTTGTTCTCCTAGCTTCAGCATCGCCCAGCCCTGGCTATTGTGCCCCTTTGGGGTGACACCCAGCTAGCTGATGGAAACATCCTCTCTATTCGTCTCTCACTCAAATAACTAAATGAATAGTTATTAAATCAGAATGCTCAAGGAACTCTACAAATGCTTACTTCTTAGCATCCATACTAAATGAATACAAAAGTTAAATGCCACATGAAAAAATGAGACAATGATTTCAGCCATGTAACCTGGATAAGTGGCACTACATATGCTGGCTGTCTGTATCTCTGTGCAGCTCCCACTTCCACAGATTCTATCACCTGTGGATGGAAAATAATCCAAAGCAGTGACTGTATTGAGCATCTACTGAAAAATTTTCTCATCACTTTCTTTAAACAATAGAGAATAGCAATTTTAAAAGCATTGTTGGAGAGAAGGGAAGATAGATCTTTTAGCTGCTGGTTCATTCCCCAAATGGCATCAAAAGTTAGAGATAAACCTGGCCAAAGCAAGGTGTTTCATTCAGTCTCCCACATGGGTCACTCTCTGCTGACTTTCAATGCACATTAGCCAGGCCAGATCAAAACTGAAGCATCTGGAACACAAACCTGTGGCCATGCAGGACTCCTAACATCACAGTGGCACGTTTACCTGCTATACCACAATGCTGGTCTCCTAGTATAACAATTATTTCACGGCTTTTACAGTGCAATGGATACTTTTAGCAAATTTGAGATGATTTAAAGAATATGGTAAAATGTTCCTAACTTACATGCAACTATTATGACATTTTATGTACGAATCTGAGAAGCCATGGATTTTGGTGCCCCCAAAATATCAGGGAACCAAATCCCTTCAGATGTCAAGAAATGACTGAATCTCACATCATAAACTTGACATTATATTGCCAAGATTTACTATGATTCTGCATTTTAAGCTTATATTTTTAAAAGATTGATCTATTTTTATTGGAAAGACAGATTTACAGAGAGAAGATGAGATAGAAAGATCTTCCATCTGTTGGTTCACTCCTCAAATAGCCACAACAGTCAGAGCTGAGCCAGTTCAAAGCTAGGAACCAGGAACTTCCTCTGGCACTCCCATGGTGCAGGGTCCCATGGTGCAGGGCCGTCCTCCAGTGGCTTTCTCAGGCCACAAGCAGGGAGTTAGATGAGACATGGAGTAGCCAGAACATAACCTGGCACCCATATGGGATTCCGACACATGCAAGATTAGGATTTGGCCTTTGAGCCATCATACTGGGCCCTTAATCTGCTAATTCTGAGGTGAGGACTTTAGTGATTATTTCTGATTTCAATCGAATGGGTTCAGTTATCCAGTTGGGATGGCAACTGACATTCTTAAAAATATTCATATTGTACAATCAATATTTTAATTTGCTGATGGAACATCAATGCACAAAACCCTACTTTTCCAGTATTTTTTGCAAAAAAAATATTTTAGGTTACAGGGGAAAAAGGAAGAGAGCATATCATTCCCACCCTTATATTCTGGCAAAATGTTTATATCCTTGGATCACAATGAAGGGATGGACTAGTCATTTATGCCTTTGAATTTCCCAAGAGATGACTATTTCCCTTCTCATTGTTTATGAAACATTTCAAATAGGCAGATAGTGGATTTGAACTGAAAGAGATTTAAAGAGACAGCTTACAAGGAAGTAATGAAGTGCTCCACTTGAAATTCCTACAATGTTGATTGCTTTAAGGAATCAGAATCTTTATTCAGTTTCTCTCTCTAGCTTTATTGTGACAAATGACAATTTTATAGCACCCTATATGCACTTATATCATGGTTTCTATCAAGTTTTCACATAATGATTAAGTTACATTCCTTTCTTCATAACTATACTATGACCAAGATCTGTACTCACATATTTTATGTTTACTCAAAACACACCAAATGTTTTTTAAATTTTTGCCTCATTGAAGGTGGATATAAAGATTCATTTGTCATTAATTAATTTTTTACCACGTAATTTTTAAGGTTTAATTAAAGCAATATTAACTTTATTTTTTAACGTTTGTATCTTAGTTAATTTAAGAAAAATAAACAAACAAAAAGGTTGAATGGCAATTTATGAGCCAGGTATTTTTACCAGTTGTACACAGCATTCAAAGAAAAACACTAAAATATCATTCAGGACTAAAATCAACTGCACGTTTTTTCTTTTCTAATTAATTATAAAGCTTCTTTAACAGACACAAATTTCTTTCTACTTTATCACCTAAACTAGTACTTTTGAAAACACGTAAGGATGTCCAGAACTCCTGAAGACAAAAAGCATATTACTGAGAAATACAAATAAGTAAATGCACTACATCTAGTGGAGGATTTGAGAAGCTGTCACTTAGCCCAGGGCTTCTCACTCCTTCACCCAAGACATAAACATATGCATTACAATGTACACATATGAAAAGGGCTTGACAGGAATTTTCTACAAGGATATGAGAATTAGTTTTTTAATCACGTCCATTTGACTTTAGTAACTGATTTAACAACACTTGCTTTCATGAATACTCAAACAATTCAATAATGTAACCTCTGGTAGATCTTGAAAAGCTCTGAAGGACAAGGCACTTAGATCAATATTGGTTTATTTCAAATGTAGGGCTGTATGAAGAGACAAGGCTGATTGTCGGATGGATTTTATTACCTGTCGGAGTGATAAGTCCTGGTGATAAGAGGCCTGGGACTGCATGGGGCAGAAGGCGGGCATTGTCCTGCAACACTCCCAGAGAACGCTTAGGGGGCCTTCCAGGCCTTGAGCTGTTGAAAAACAAAGATCAGGTTAAAAAAATGTCTTTTCAGGGAATATCATCGCTTGCTACCTTTACTTTCTAAATCTTATGTAACTGCCAAGGATGATAAAATTTTTACATTAAAGACTATGTACATTCATAGATGACCAAAGACCAATACTTTTCCTTTTCACTAAATTTCTTCACATGGTTATGGCAAACATTAAAGCCAAACGGGATCAATTCCTAGTTTAAATTCCATTTACAGCTGAGCACTTTGCAATACAGTTCACCTGTTGTGAGAAAACTTAAGTTTACCCCCTGCGTTTAAAGCTACGCATGAGCCCTGGCATTAATACATGCCACTGAAATCTGAGATAGTGACTCTCAGAATTAAGACTGTGTAGAATGTAAGGTGATTATGTCTCTTCTCAGCATGCCAGAGGTGAGTAGTAAAAAGCTGAGAGGTGTAGAATAAAACCTGATGTTGATTAGCATTTCCACAGCTGCTGGATGCCCAGGAGGAACAAAGGACCCTGGCCTTCAGTAGGTTTTTGCCTTCCTATTTTTGAAACCAGGCTAAATATTCAGCAGCAGGCTTTCTTGGAGTCGCTGTACTAACAAAACCCACCACCTTTGCAATCTAGGCTGTCTTTTATCTCATATCGATTGATGTTTTAACCAATTTCTTGAGGCAAAACTTAAAACATTAACCTAACATACAGCATTTGCACATTCTTTACCCTACCGTGAGCAGTTCAGAAACTGCAACCGCAAATACTAATTTTTAAAATCATAAAATAAAATTTCAGTATCTACTGTTTCATCCTGCAAACTAACACACAATTTTGGTACTGAAAAGCTGTTATCCCTGTAAAGATTTACAAATCATAGCTCATTAGAATCAAGTCATTCTCTCAAGTCATCTGAATGTGTTCCAAATACCATGTTATTATGTTGTTTAAGATGTGTTGCCTTTTAGTAAAAACACATTTTGAAAAGCTGGATAACAGGTCTTTTGACATAATATTGTGAAATTATATATTAAATAACCTAAGCTACCAAAAAAGTAATATGAGCTTCAGACAGCAGACATTTCCACAAGTGACTCGATTCACAATGAAATTTAAGTTAAACCTTGCTCTATCAACTTTGCAATAGTGTGCTCCATCAATGGAAGACAAACTCTGCTTTTAAATGAAGACAGCTTCTAGCAACCTTCCACAGAGGTTTCATTGCCTTGTTCATTTTTCATACACTGTACTAGTGTTATTTTCTTCTACTGCACATCAATATTGTATATCAATCTATCTAGCACAAAAGACTCTGTTCTGTTCTCATGTAACATTTCAATTTTTTAAACTGATTCTAGGCACCTTTCTACTTGATGCTGGGCCATAATTTGTTTTATTTAATTTAACGTTGTTACCCTGTTTGCCCTTGCCTTGCTGTGTGGCTTCCTAACTGCTTTGCTGAATGCTGATAGCAGACGTAGGCGCTTTATTTGAGAAGTCTTGCAGGATCCCAGGATTGCAGAATAATATAATAATACTCATCAGAGTATATCCAGTCATTAGAAGAAGGCATATTATTTGGCTGAATAATGTTCAGCAAAACTATGATTTGTAGGTATTTATTTTGTCCTCCCACTTGTTGGAAGTCCAGCCTTCCAAATTTAAATTCACCTGATTACCCTTTCTACTTTTCCACTGTGCACATTTCGGTACTGTCTCCACACTATCACTTTTAGTCAGGCTGCTCCAGAAGGCAGCTGCCTGATGCTCCCTTCCTTTCCGTATGATGAGCCATATGACTGCTAGCTATTTACAGTTTACAGTTGGAAAGTTATAAAGTTTAACTAGTCCCTTTCCAAATCTCTTGGTATGTTTGCTCTTTGAAGTAACTCTTTCTCAGTATGCAGCTTCAAGCTTGGGAAATAATCACAACCCTTTAGTCAGTGGTTCATTCTTCAATTCCAAGATTTGAAAAACCTTCCTTCATTTCCCCACCATTGAATCTATATTGGAGAGTTCATGGCTTAGGTTACAAATGACTTGAGGATATATTTATTGCATAAGTTATAAACTCAAGAGGGCCTCATTCTTCATCATAATAATTTTTTCAGTTTATTACATTGTAGTTTTGGTATGATTCATTATGAGTTTCCCCACATAGAACCTAAACTTCATGAAAGAAGTATATGCATCTGGTGCTGTTTTGACACTGTATTTTGAGTAATTATTATAGCCTCTAACAAACAGAAAGGATCGGTAAGTGGTTAAAACAATCCCTGAATTAAAAAGTACTCACGTACAATTTCTACAGTTAAAAAATACTGCTTAGATCATTCTATTCTCCTTGACAACAAAAACAGTTGATAGCACAATTTAATCACCAGGTAATTCTTTTGTAAATCTTGGACTCCAAAATAATTATAGATGCTCCACAACATGACCCACTCAAATTTGACAATGTATTGATGTAAAAGTAAAAACTACTAAAGGTGGACAACAGGTAATTGTCTTATTCTCTTGGAGACCCTACCAGCTTCAAAATCTACTTAAGGACTGCGTGCTCCTGCAATCACTCATGTATCCCTAATTCAGCCATCCAATAATGCTAAAACTAGTGTCTCACATATTGCTATCCATCAGCAACCCAAGGGTATAAATCTAAATTGAACAAGTGCAAAGTTTCCTGCATTTATTGTTTTTTAATGTGAAACTGGAACAGGTTCTGCCTTTCCGTTGCTTGTGATCCAATGATAGATATGTGTATTTTTTCCTGTTATTTCAAATTCTGATTGACTGGTTAATGAGTATGCTTTTGCAACATTTGCTTCTTCTTTAAATTTATCAGTAAGCAAGAATAGTATTCAGATGCAATACTTTGAATTTTAGCGTGAAGGGTCACATCTCTAAAATTAACTAATTAGAGCTAAGGTTTCTTTTTAATTAAGTTTTTTGCTTGTTTGTTTTTTAGGCAGTGTTACAGACACAGAAACACAGGGAGGCTTTCCAGCCTTTGGTTCACCCATCAAATTACCACAATGCTGGGGGATAGATTAGGCCAAAGCCAGAAACCAGGAGCTTCTTCAAGGTCTCCTACATGGGAACAGGGGCCCAAGCACTAGGGCCATCTTCTGCTGTTTTTCCAGGCACATTAGCTGTGAGCTGCATAGGAAGCAGAGCACCTGGGATTTGAACCAGCACCCATATGGTATGACAGCCTTGCAGACAGCAACTTAACCTTCTTTGCCATAGTGCAAGCTCCCTAAGTTTGTTTTTAAAAGCTCTGTATAATCATTAAAAGTGCCATACAAGGGCCTGGCATGGTAGCCTAGTGGCCAGAGTCCTTGCCTTACATGCACCAGGTTCCCATATGGGCTGCGGTTCTAATCCCAGCAACCCCACTTCCCATCCAGCTCCTTGTTTGTGGCCTGAGAAAACAGTCAAGGATGGCCCAAAGCCTTGGGACCATGTACTGGCGTGGCAGACCAGAAAGGAGCTCCTGGCTCCTGGCTTTGGATCAGCTCAGCTCCAGCCATTGCAGCCACTTGGGGCGTGAATCCTCAGATGGAAGATCTTCCTCTCTGTCTCGCCTCCTCTCTGAATATCTGACTTTTCAATAAAGATAAATAAATCTTAAAATGAAAGTGCCATACAAATACAATATATTTTTTTACTTATTTTCAGACCCAAGTATCACCTGTTAGTAAGACATTAGAAGTAAAACAAATTTCTGTATTCCTTTTCAAATAACATACAGCTCATTTTCCCCAACACTGCAGAAAAGGTAGAAAAGATCATTCTTGATAGATAACCTTGCCATACTCCTTATCTTTAGGAGCTTTACTCACATCAGGCAGATATTTACATATTAATCAAGACAAATAAACATGTAGTGATTTAACTCGAAATTGTTATTTGGATGACAATTTAATCAGCATAGGTTGAAAGGTCCATCATCGCAGCATCCTGTTTCTGCTAAAATACTGATTATATTACTGATCTCACTAATGCTTTATTTTACAGGGCACAAATAACCATGTAATTACTCTTTAATTGAATGATAATTGCTTCTTGACAATTATTTGTTTTCAGTTTAATTACAAGGTTATTTGTACTCTATAAAATTAAACAGTTCTTTTTTTTTAACATTCCCACCCAAATGGCTCTGCTAGTGTATCACTCAGGTTCACAATAAAGGAAAGTTTTTGAGGTACTTGGCAATAAATAAATAAATAAGAAAGAAAGAAAAGAAAGAAACCCCATCAAATAGTGAAACTTTCATTAAACAACTCAGCTAAATTGTTAAGAGCTTCAGTTTCAAGAATTAACACTAAAGGTACTATGTACACACAATTGGAGAGAAATTTGTATAACATGGAATCGGGATTTTTCCCGGGTTCAGATCATCCCTTAACATAATTTTTTCCTGATTTTTCCTCTCCATCATTCTTCAGACTTCTTTAGAAGAAATCAATAAAAACGCAATTTTCAAACATTAATGACAGGAGCCAATTTGAAATATGTATCAGTAGAGTCCATATTTCTGCAGTTGAAGTGGATTCTCTTCTAATTTGTGAGCTTTGTGGAGTTGGTAGTTCACTAAGAGAAAATTGGTAGGGCTTCTGTATCAATATGACATGACTCATACTGCGATCTACTATTCCAAGGTTATGAGGACATAGTAGCTGACACTTTGCTCATTAAGAGTATGAAATCTCATTATTAGGTTTATTTCGGTTTCATGTGGTCATCTATTTGTAAATCAAGGTATAAGCAACTGAATAAACAGTGATTTTATTATTTTGAGAGAAAAAAATCATTGGTAAGTGAATTTATGCTGTCACAAGCCTTCAAGATTTTTAATATAAATCATATGAACAATACTTTCTTTAGTTAGGAATTACAATTCAATTCATCCTCTTCAATGAAAGGGTGTCTTACTACTCCGTAAACAGTCGTTCTGAGGCAGATTGAGAAAACTGCTGAGCGTGTAGTGGCAGTTAAGGGTCTTATTAAG